GACGAGCCCGAAGGTCGGCGGCACGGAACGAGGCCCCAGAGGGCCGCTCGTTCCACCCAAAATAATGACGAGGCGCTGCGGGCGAACGCGTTTGGACCCGAGCGGCCCAGCGGGCGGCGCGGGTCTCTGGACAGGCCCGCAACTGCTTACGTCGATCCCGGGGCTCTTTTTTTTTTTTTCTTCCGTTCGGCGGCCGTAAGCGGGGCCAGATGGGACTTGTTGAGGTGATGAAGGCGAGGCGGCCGGAGGATTACAGCGTGGCGTCGCGTCATCCTGTTTTCCGATGGAGTGTGAAATGCTCTTTGCTTCTGAAAATGAGCCGTCCCTTTCAAATCCGGGACTTTGCTCGGAACGTGTCTTTTTTTTTTTTTCTTCCGTTCGGCGGCCGTAAGCGGGGCCAGATGGGACTTGTTGAGGTGATGAAGGCGAGGCGGCCGGAGGATTACAGCGTGGCGTCGCGTCATCCTGTTTTCCGATGGAGTGTGAAATGCTCTTTGCTTCTGAAAATGAGCCGTCCCTTTCAAATCCGGGACTTTGCTCGGAACGTGTCAACGACTGTTGAAAAAAACACCAAAGGAGAAGACGACTCGTTGTGGCCGGATTTGAAACGTGCGAGTCTGCACGACACATTTTATTGACAGCAACATTTCAAGACGAGACGAGATGGAACGGACAAAACATGGAGGGGACTCCGAGGCCACAACGTTGGGTACACCTGCACCACTTATCGTGTGTGGGGGGGGGATTTTATACACACATATGCATGTTTTTTTTTTTTTTTTTAATAATCAGCCTTTATTGATGCTAATGATGCTAATGCTATGGACAGACGCCACGAGAGCAGGACGCTTTTGACCAACTGTTTCGTTTCAAGCGATTTCAGTTCACGTCGTTAACCAGCTTGGAAAGGGAACACACACAAGCCGTAAGTCGAGGTTCCACTGCATTTTCATTTTTGTCACGCTGAAAGGCAGAACGGTGACGAGCTGGTGTCGGTGTACCTAATGAAGTGGCCAACGAGAGCCTGTCACGGACAAGACGAAGTGAGGAGAACAACACCCAGCCTGTCTTGGATCGCTTGAGTGCGCGGCAGAAGGACTCCCCCGGCTTGCTTTGGAGTCCTTCTGCTCCTCGGCCGTCGGTCTCCCCCGTGCGGAGCCCCCCCCCATCGCCCCCGCGGCATCTGCGCCGGCTGTCACAGAGGGAGCACCTTGCCGTGCCCGGCGATGCGGCCGGAGCGGCCGGGCGGGGGCCGCCTGTTGAGGGGCCGCATGCCGAGGCCGACCGCGCCGGCGCTCCCGCGCGGGGCGCGGCGGCCGCAGGACAGCGTCTCCACGGCGGCGTCTCGAAACTGACGGCACAAAGAGAACGCGGTGACGCTGGCACTTTGGGACTTGGCCAAGAAATCGGCCCGCTCCGGCTGCGTCTCGTGCCCGAGTGAATTCGCGGACGTCTGTGGAAAAACTACCCGGCAAAGTGGAACATTTGCGGCCTGAGAGCCGAAAGCTATTTTCGCCTTTCCGGCGGAACTTTGTTTGTCCTTCTAACAAAGTTTCAGCGGAAATGGCCAACTGTTCCTCGCTGGGGTTCCACGGATGTCCGAGCATCTGGCTTTGCGCCACTGGTCCGGTCTCAGCTCAGTGGGCGCTTCCCATTTGGTCAAGGGCGGTCTGACCTCCAAATGTCAACGGGAGGACGAGCAAAGCTTTGTCAACAGCGACGGCCGAATCCCACAAAGAAGTCAGCGCGGCCGCCCGCGCCGCTTGTGATCGCTCTCGGTTTGCGCCCGCGGCTCGCTCCGCCTGCACGTCGTCTCGGGTCGTGACGCGTTCCGCCATCTGTGCGCGCTTTGCGCACGACGTGCTCTCCGTTTGCTCCCTTTCTCCCGGCCTTTGCCCCGCCGTTGACGCCAAGGGCGCCATTTTGCTAAAGCGGCCTTCAGCGGAATTCTGCGCCGATTGTTCAACGTGTTGTTTTTGCCCATACTTGTGTGCGCTTCACATCCTTGATTTTGTTTGTATCGGCGCGAAGGTTAGCGTCGTGTTCGGTTTCAGGCCGAAAACTCTTTTGACCGACGGACGACGGTTACTTTGTACGCATCATTTGGCGTGCGGTCGAACGTCAGTACTCGGGACTGCCACCGGTCTGGCCTGTCCGCGTATGCTAAGAAGCAATCAGAAGTGAAGACCGATGAAAAAAATCATTTGGGGCAGCAAGGTTGCCACGTCGCTCCTCCACCGTCAGCCCGTCGCGAACGTTGTGTGAGTTCTTTCATCGGGAAAGAGGAGCGGCAGTTTGAGAAGAAAGGAGGCCGCTCGGGCACGTCCCTGTTACCTGCTCGTTGGAGAGGAAGTAGATGACGGGGTTGTAGACGGGGCTGGTCTTGGCCAAGTACATGGGCACGGTGGCCAGCAGCGGGGGGATGTCCAGCTGCGGCCGCAGCACCACCGCCAGCGACAGGGCCGTGTAGGGCAGCCAGCACGCGAAGAAGGCGGCGATCATGGCCAGGACCATCTTGACGGCGCGCTCCGTCTCCTTGCTCAAAGAGCGCCCCGCCTGCGACTCCACGCTCTTGTTCAACTGCGAACAAAACGCTCCGGCCCATGACTCGGGGGAGGCGACTTTTGGCCGCGGCCCCGCGTTGTCTCTTGCTCTCTTTGATTGTGAGGTGGCGGCTAAGGCCGAAGGGACGGCCCGCCGCGGGATGGAATCGTCAGTCCAATCCATCAACGGAATGAAATGCGTACCTTGCGCAAGGACGCCAGGACTTTGGAGTAGCAGTAGATGATGACGGCCACGGGGAAGAGGAAGCACGTGAGCGTGTACAGGATGAGGTAGCTGTAGTTGCTCCAGGACCTCTCCTCCCAGGCCAGCGAGCAGGACGTGCGCACGCCCTCGGGGCCGTAGCCGCTCCATCCCAGCAGCGGCGCCGCCGCCCAGAACAGGCAGAAGAGCCACACGCGGAGGAGCCCCGTCACGCTGCGCCGCATGCTCAGCCGCCGGCCGGCGCGCGGCTCGCACACCGCCTTGTAGCGCTCGTACGACAGCAGGGTCAGCGTGCACAGCGACACCAGGCCTGTGGGGGGGGCGTCTCATCACGCCGCAAATACCGCCGCGTCGCGACTCCACTATGCGCCTTGACTCGATAGGTGGCGGGCTCCGACTTCGGCAGCTTTTGGCAAACGGCTACGACCCGATGGAACATTTCTGCCGCTTCCGAGGCCCCGATGGGCACGGTGGCCTCCGTCGGCCCGAAAAGGGAACAGCTCCCTCCACCCGGGGGTCGCCATATCGCGGCAAACGACTCTGCCGACGTCCTCCGGTGGGCCGGACTGGAACGTGACACGAGCGTGCAAAATGGCCAAAGACGCAGTCGGCGCGCCAAGCTCAGGAGCGCTTGACGTCCCTCCCTTTGTTCAGCATCCAAAAGCGCAAGGACGCCCGCGCTTGTATTTTGCGCTCGAGTTCACGAACGCGCCAGACAAAGGACGACTTCTCAGCCGCGTCGCGAGAGGAACTTCTTCCTGACACGTTTGCAAACTATGACGCCGGACCGCGCTTGACAAGGGAGGAGCTCTGCTGGCGGCGACCGGCGGCTGAAGCGATCGAGCCGGGAAACGGTCAACGGACGCTTCGCGTCGGCATCGGGGTGCCGCCCACTCACCAAAGTAGTTGACGGCGAAGCCCTGGAAGACGCAGGCGGCGCGGCCCATGAAGAAGGAGCCGTGGTAGTTGGTGACGGTGACCACCAGGGAGCCGCACAGGCCGATCATCAGGTCGGACGCCGCCAGGCTGACGACGAACACGTTGATGGGGCGCAGCAGGCCGGGGTTCCTCAGGGACACGGCGATCACCAGGCCGTTGTTGAAGACGCTCAGCAGCGTGTTGACGAACATGAGGAAGGCCAGCGCGCTGTAGCCCGCGCGGGGGAAGACGGTGGGCGCCTCGGCCGGCGCCCCGCTCCGCGTCGTGCCGTTGCCGTCCATGCCGCGAGTGGTCGGCTCCTCCGCCCGCCCGCTTGATCTTATCGCCCCTGATCCGCCGCGCAGCTGCCCGCGCCGCGCAATATGACAAATTGGCTCCTAACGGGATTTGCAGGGCGGATCGACTCCCATAAAACCCGCGGCCGTAATGCCGATTGGAAAGCGGCGCCGTTTGAACGAGGGGCTCCCCAAAAGTGACCGCGGGCGCGACGTGCAACGGTGGGAAGATTGGGCCGGCCGGCCGGCAAAAACAAAAAACCAACCCGGGCTACCCGGGTGGGCACAGCGGCGCCTGCTGCGGGCCCCAAACGGCACCCGTGCCAGACTTTGGACCCCCGCCCTCAGTGAAGCCCCTCAACCGAGTGACCTTGAACAAGTGGACGTCCTTTCTGCACAACTTGCTGCTCTCCAATTGGGGCAGGACACTTGCGAGCCCATTCACGCGCAAATCCACAGCGGTTCACGCACGCACACACACGCGCTCTTTCACAAAAACTGAAGACAAACGACCGACTTGCTGGTTTAATTTCACACTTGACTCCGGTGACCTGACAATTTGTTGGCAAAACATCCAAGGGTCCCTTTTCCTGTGGACTGTCTGTCCCCTTTTGATATTCTCATAGCAGCCCCCCCCCCACACCAAAAAAGTTCCATCTACAATAACACAAATCAAATCACAAGAGGAGAACACAGCATTCAAGCACATTTCTGACAATCAAGCACGTTTTGCAAACTGAATCAGGAGGACAAAGCTCAGTGAGGGCCGGCTTCAAGATCACAAGCGGCGCCCCCTCCCAAAAAAAAAAAAAATTAAGTTCAAAAGTGATCAAGTGGTCAGTAACTGAGTACGGTGCAACAGTGCGCGTCACTTTCCGGCCCAAACATGACACAAAACCAAAAAGAAGCTACGAGACACAACGCGTGATCATGAAGGCAGCCCGTGTCGTAAAACGCTGCGGCCAAATATCATCACAGCAGTCACGGAAGGAGTTCGAGTGACCGCCTCCCTTATTTGCCGTTTGATAAATGCGGGGGTCGGGTCGGGTGGGGTGGGCAAAGCTTTGCGCTCAAGGGCCACGTTTCGTTTGCAAAACGGGCAGAAGCCAAAATGCCGATCGATGTCAAAGAGTTGGCTTGAATAATTTGGCACTATTGAGATTCGGCGCTTGGAATTGAAGCGGATCGAAAGGGGGCAGAACTGAAGGCGTCGGCGCCTTGGTCAGTTCCTTGTTTGCTTTTGGACAACGAATACAAAAGGGACTCTGGATGACTGCATTACGTTTGGCAAAATTCCTGATTTGTTCTTATTTTTGGGGAAAAGTAACTCATGTGTGACTCTTTTCAGAAATATATCAAATCTTGGAACATTTGTTGCGGAAAATGAGAAATGTTCTCGAAGAAAATGTGTTGGGGTTTTTTTTTTTTTTTTAGTCCTGTTGAAAAGTAATTGGTGTTTTTGGCGCATCCCAATGGCCTCTTCTTCGACGACAAGGTTCTGCTGCAAATGATTCTTCTTATTGATTTTATTTTTTGGAATGAATCGCTCATGTGAATGCCGCGCGGGCCGAATTCAAGAACGGAGCGGATCGCGTGCAGCCCCGGGGACCATAGTTTGCCCACCGTTTGTTGCGGAAAATGAGAAATGTTCTCGAAGAAAAAGTGTTGGGGTTTTTTTTAGTCCTGTTGAAAAGTAATTGATGTTATTGTCGCATCCCAAAAGGCCTTTTCTTCGATGACAAGGTACTGCTGCAAATGACTCTTCTTATTGATTACATTTTTTTGGAATGAATCGCTCATGTGAATGCAGCGCAGGCCGAATTCAAGAACGGAGCGGATCGCGTGCGCCCCCGGGGACCATAGTTTGCCCACCCCCCCGGTCAGGCGGCGAAGAAAAGCGGCAGACGGCTCCTTTCAAGTTTCACGGCGAGGACGAAAAAGACGGCGGAATACTTTAGCGTCGACTCTCGTGAGCATCCGCGGGGGGCGGGGGGGTCGGTCG